CCACCCCCCCCTCTTTGTACATCACATGCTCTGTGCACTCTTAGAGCTCAACAACATATCAGCAGAGCTTCTGCTGGGGTCTTCTCAGAGTACTGGCCTTCAAGCAGCTGTGGAGCACAAGGAGTGAGCACTGCTTCTGTTCACTCTTTCTTTTCTTCCTCTTTGCCCCCAGATTCAGCAGCAGAACAATGGAGAGCAGGAGTGGCTGGCAGTATGCTCAGCCCATTGTTCCCCATGCAGGCTGGCTCTAGAGTCCAGGGGTTGCACTCTGCTGTCACTTGTCCCCTCTCTTCCTTTCTCCTACTGCTGAATTTGGGGGAATGGGGAGGAGACAGACCCTCCGTTGACCAGCTGGTGAGCTCATAGAGCTCTTTATACATGCAGAACTCCCAGCAGGAACTGTGCTGACATGCTGGTAATCTCAGAGAGCTCACTGGTATCCAGGATCATAGAGAGCAGTTGCAGTCGCACCCCCTTTGGTGGTGTGGTGCATGTACAGTGAACTTGCTTTACTGCACGTGCATCACACTGCTGAAGGGGGTGTGGCTGCACCCTTGTCACTGCAATCATGGATCCACCAATGGGACTGTGTGTTCATATTTTGTTTTAAGCCCTTTAAAGAGGCTGTTCAGCACTAATGCAGAAACAAATTGGCTGCTGTTCCTGATCTTGGGGTGAGGAGGACACCTGTCCTTTCCCATATTGCTCTCTTGGAGTCTGATGTGCCTGGGGACTCCCCATTCACTTGATAGACTTCTGCATGGGGTTAGTAATAGGAACCTAGTGGTAGTGAAGGGCCACACTGCATTGTCTGTTGAGGTATGTACCTGAATCCGATAGGACCCTGAATTTAAACCCCCCACCCCTCCCCAATGAATAGATTCTGTGCATGGAAAACATCATAAATTTGTTATAATTTTCCATCTATAGAGTCTGCTTATTGGAAGGTCATATTCTTCCTTCCACACTGTTGCGGCTGGGGGGAGGCGGGGAGCAGACAGTAGGGGGCCAGGTCATGCGGGACCATCAGGAGGGGGGAATCAGGTGATTGAGGGGCTGGGGGTCAAGCACTTGCCTCCAGGCCACCTATCCTTTCCCCTCCTCACTTGGTCCACTTATGCCTGCCTGCTTGCTGCCTCTGCCCCTTGCCCTGCCTCTTCTCTATCCTCGCTTCAGCCTAGAGCACAAAACACAGCTCCAGCTTGATCCCATGGCAGCTGAGTTGTGGTAGCTTCAGCTGGTGGGGGAGGAGATTGGGACAGAAGGGGGGACCCAGTGTGGGGGTTGGCAGAGGCATTGTGGGGCCAGGCAGCAGCTGCCTGCTCTCCCACCGTCTCATACTCAATTCCAAGATGAGGGACTTCCCCCTCATTTAGGTTGAGGGGGACGAGATGACTCCTAATCTTAGAATCAAGTAAATACGGTATTCCAGAATATGATGTACAGGCATACCTCGGAGATATTGCGGGTTCGGTTCCAGACCACCTCAATAAAGCGAATATCGCAATAAAGTGAGTCGCACGAATTTTTTGGTTTCCCAGTGCATATAAAAGTTATGTTTACACTATACTGTAGTCTGTTAAGTGTGCAATAGCATTATGTCTAAAAAAACAATGTACATACCTTAATTAAAAAATACTTTATTGCTAAAAAAATGCTAACCATCATCTGAGCCTTCAGCGAGTCGTAATCTTTTTGCTGGTGGAGGGTCTTGCCTCAATTTGTAAAAAACCGCAATATCTGCGAAGTGCAACAAAGCGAAGCGCAATAAAACGAGGTATGCCTGTACACGTTGAATCTTTCGCTGCTGTAACCTGCTCAACTTGGTGAGCCATTCCCATTCTCTTCCAATATGGTGTTTGAAACAGTTAAAACAAATGTTTCCACTTGTAAAGTGTTACCTTTGGATAAGTGTATCTTGTCATTGTTTAAGTCCATTTTAGATAGCAAAACTATGGATTTGTGTTTAATTATTTTATGGATTAGTGATTCTCCAGAGTGCAACATAAATCTATTTGATGTCTTAGAGCAACTAGGTTTTTCATTTATTGCTGAATTAGCTTAAATGTATGAAATTACAAGTAAATATTTCCATGAAGGATCATTTTGTGAGAAGACTCCTGTATATTTACTTATTAATACATAAACCAATATGAGTGGCTGATATGCCTTCTTGAAAAGGAAACAAAAGCTCCACTAATTTAGGACAG